TACTGTTCGTAGAGAACAGCACAACAGCCTTTACACAAAACCTATGTACAGGCTGTCTACCCAGTCATATCCAAGTACAGTGCAACAGTTACACATACTGGTAAATCTGTAAATACTCACATGTCAAATACTGTTCATCTTCTGTTTAGTAGCTGTGTATAGTACATATATCCATGTGTAATAGTCACCACACTCATTGATATGCCTAGAATATCTACACCAGGGGTGCCCACACTTTTTCGCCTTGCGAGCTACTTTTCAAATGACCAAGTCAAAATGATCGACCTACACTAAAAATACTACACACACACACACACACGAAAAATATATATATGAATGAGTGTCATAGTTTTTATGAACAGTCTGAAAGTGCCGCTCCACATTTCTCTTCAGAATAGTGATGGTAGATTGGTAGATCAAGCAAATGCACTTCGAATATAACATCGCGAAAAAAGGTCCTCCTCCCATTCCACATGGAATGTTTCCGGTTTCTTACTTGATTGCCCCCCCACTCATTTTATACCCTTTAGTAGACATTAATTCGAAGGCTGACAAGGTAGTTTGCAGTAGCTCGTGCTGTTGACTGTGCATGCTTGGTGACTCGTGTGTCAGAAAAGACGAGATCTCAGACTGGCTGCCCTGCATGTCAATCAAGTAGCAAACGCCATAGGGAGGATGGATGATAGGCTATATATGAATGATTGTCACTTTCTGCTTTTCTCATTAGGGGTCGCCACAGCGAATCGTCACACTGACCATTCGCACGTGTTTTACGCGGTACGCGATCTACCTTTGCGATCGACCAGTCAATCGCGATCAACGTATTGGGCACCCCTGGTAGAATCTACAGTATTTGCTGTGTAACGTGTGTATAAATAACCATTGTCTTTGACATTTTCATATTGCTCTTCAACGTATTATGATACCTACTGTATAGTAATATCCATCCATCCATCCATCCATTTTCCTCCGCTTATCCGGGACCGGGTCGCGGGGACAGCAGTCTAAGCAAAGATGCCCAGACTTCCCTCTCTCCAGACACTTCCTCCAGCTCCTCCGGGGGAATGCCGAGGTGTTCCCAGGCCAGCCGAGAGACATAGTCCCTCCAGCGTGTCCTGGGTCTTCCCCGGGGCCTCCTCCCGG